CTTGAAGTAGAAAAACTGAAATAGTATTTTCATGTAAACCAAACTCTAATAATCTTTGTTTTATTTACAAGTAAACATTTTTTTACAGTGTAGCAAAAAGGTAGAATGTAGAATTACAATTCAAAGTTTGAAAACTGTTTAAAAAGTCAAGTAGGAAGGTATATAACCTTTAGAATGATAGCCAGATAAAATATCAAATAATGAAATATGTAAACTTACATACATATTTCATATTTTGTCTGTCTGACTGCCTGTCATTAACCCCTGTGTGTTTATGTTTATATATATATATAACCATCACAAACTATGGCTACGTCCACACGAAGCCAGAGCTTTCCCTATCCAATACCCCCCCACACGTCTCAAGAAATATCTGCATCCACACCGACACCTAGTTTATTAATGCAATCGTTCAGTGTTTGTTCATGTTTTTGTTGCTGTTACGTGACGTAGCGGTGTCTGACTAGAGGCGAGACGTGGGCTGATGACGTCATCATTTCCGAAAATATACGGATTCGCGGTCCACATGAAAACGCAAAGGTGGTGTTTTCAGATTTATCCACTCTGGGACCCGGTTTAAAAAATATTGGTTTCACTCTCCCAAAACGCCGGATCCATGTGGACGAAACGCCTATACGACACAAAATGTATGCGTATACAGCTAAACACGTCTCCGTGTGGACGGGGCCTATGTCTAATATCAAATATCCCTCTCTTCTTCTTACTATGATATGTCCATAGAGCTTGACTGTATTAAACTGACTTATATTTTTCTCCACAAGGCCTTGGGAAGGTCTTCGCAGTGGATTTCTGAGAGAAAATAAATAATAAATCATGCCTTATCACCAGGTGTACACAAACCTTAAATGACCAGTCCTTGATATGGTGATGAATGCTTGAAGTCAATATACCCCAATGAGCTGGATTATGAGGCAATAAAGAGCTCTCTTCAAATGGCGATGACAGTAATCTAATGAGTGACACGTTTTGATGTCAGACAGCCCCTGTCTTTTCCTTGACAAAGTCATCAGGCAGTTAAACCTCATGGGCACAGAGTGAGTTTTTCTCCTCTAGGCTTCGGTGAAAGATGAACCGGCGTCTAATTCATTTTCTCTTTGTTGTTTATCTAAAGGCAGGGCTGGATATATCATGACAGATTGTGACAGCGCCGTAAGGAGGAGGCTGTTAAGATGCCTGAATGGTTCAAATGTAATTGCAGTTTTCTCCTTTTTGACACTCTCTCTTTCTGCAGGCTAAAATAAAAATGGAAAAATTAACTTGTGGGGTTCAAGGCTATTGGATTTGAGTTTCCCTGATATGAATCTTACACACAGATGTTGTGAACAGCATCTTTGAGTTGTCAGAGTTGGAATAACTGAGACCGAGGACAACAGTAACACTAAATATCTGTGATCAAATACCAGGTAAGAGCAATGACACATGCTCAGTACAGTTCTCTGTCTGTCTGAGAACAACTGATTTAGAAGAATAAAAACGATTCCTCCCTCCCCCAGGATATAAAGTATTTTTCTTCTTCTGTATAAAGTTATAATGATTTTGAAACTTTTAACTTTTGTCTATTTCATGTGTGAGTTATTGGGTAAATGTTTGCATGAATGGCAGATGTTAACACTGTAGCTACCATACAAAAATTGTACGATGCAGTGAGGTTGGGGACAATATTAATAGTTATAATAACTATTATTATTATTATTCACCAATCTTACAGCATTAACAGACTTATCATTTTTATGTTTAAAATATTTAATGATATTAAATATAATAGAAAGCTTACATTTAAAAAATATTTACATTTAAAAATAAATAAAATGAATACAAAAATAAAACTTTTCTTTATGTACAATACAATTTTAATGCCACAATAAAATAACATTTTAAAAATAAATATAAAAAAGTTTTGAAAATAATCTCAATACTCCTTTTTTTTTACAATAAAATTGGAACATTACAAGATTAAAACATTAATATTTAGAGAATCATATCAAACTTACTAGAATAAAGTTGAAGCTTTTTTTCAGATTCATAATAGGGGTGTAAGATTTCTATTTAAAATTTCATAAATGAGCTTTATACTGTATAACTTTAATCTAAAAAAAACAAAAAAAACATGGCACTAACAAATTTGCTTTTAATGAACCAAATGCACACCCAGGGGGGAAAAAAAGTGAATTAAAACTTTTCTTTATGTACAATACAATTTTAATGCCACAATAAAATAACATTTTAAAAATAAATATAAAAAAGTTTTGAAAATAATCTCAATACTCCTTTTTTTACAATAAAATTGGAACATTACAAGATTAAAACATTAATATTTAGAGAATCATATCAAACTTACTAGAATAAAGTTGAAGCTTTTTTTCAGATTCATAATAGGGGTGTAAGATTTCTATTTAAAATTTCATAAATGAGCTTTATACTGTATAACTTTAATCTAAAAAAAACAAAAAAAACATGGCACTAACAAATTTGCTTTTAATGAACCAAATGCACACCCAGGGGGGAAAAAAAGTGAATGATAGATCCAGACAGGGTAAAGGATGACGCAACCTTTGTCCACCTCAGTGCTTTTCCTGTGTCCGCACTATGTAAGACACTGACAGATTTGCCAGTCCTTCCCATCCTCTCTAAAAAAGAAATAACCCATTTTAACCCGTCTCTCGTGGCATTGATTGATAGGCTATGAGCGTCGGACTTAATAACCTCTATCATACTATCCAACCCCTCTGCTGGCAGCAGGCGCTAGTTTGTTTATGGGTGGCATCTCCTCCAAAATGCCATGTGTGTGAAAGCTCTAACTGTGCTAATGGTGTGGGCTGAGGGATTGGACTGTCAGCTGGGAGTGAGGCCTCATTTTTCTACCTGCCTGCTGTCCATGTTTCCAACCCCACAGAACCACCCCTTTCCGCCTTACCCTCTGTACCCCGATCATCTGTCAGCCTGGACCTCAGCTCCCATGATGCAGCAAAAAAAAGAGAGATGGCTTGTCAGCTTCGGTTGGTTGAGTGACAGTTCTACATGTTGGATCAGGGTGGACGGGGCTGGTTAATCTGGTGGTGTGGCCACATGGATTGTGTTTGTCTCGCTTGGTTAGCTTATTCACATTGAGGAAGAGAGCAAATGTTCCTTCAGCTTATTTGAGAATGTTTTAAAAACAAACGTTCATGACTGCCAAGGTAGCATATGAAAGCTCAAGCGTATGAAATTAATTTCCCTCCTAAATGAGCGTTTACGGTCTATTTTGGCCAAAAGAAACAAGAAAACATCAGGTTCGGGAAGTATTCTAGGTTATTAGCTCTTTGATCATGATATCCGAGCGCTCTTCTTGCTTTCAGAGTAAATGCTTTCTCTCTCTGTGATGATCTGAACAATTACACAGTGCAGAAGAGGCAGGTTGCAGATTATTTATTGAATCAAACATAACTGCATTCTTTCTGAAGTGCTGAGATCTCAAAGGCACTTTCTTGAGGCAGAATCTTGCGCATACACACAAGTACATTATACACTACTGTTCAAAAGTTTTTTTTAAATTATTGGATACTTTTATTCAGCAAGGATGCATTAAATTGATCAAAAGCGACAGTAAATATATTTATAATGTTACAAAGAAAATCATTCACACACACACACCTATTTTAAATTTTGACTATAAGAAGAAATGTTACTTGAGGACCAAATCAGAAAATTAGAATGATTTCTGAAGGATCATGTGACACTGAAGACTAAAATAATGGCTGCTAAAAAGTCAGCTTTGAATCACAGCAATAAATTATATTTATATATATATATTTTTATTATTATTATTATTATTAATTAGTAAGTTAATACAGTAGGGGAGACCAAGGTAAAACATCTCTGTAACATGTGTTTCCTTCTGGAGCATCAATGAGTGTTTGAACCTTTTTTTAATGGTTGCGTTTGAGTCCCTCAACTGTCCTCAACGTGTTATTTATCTAACACTCATACTCAGCCTACACCTCAAATTTGCACATAATATACAGTACCTGTACATACAAAAACTGTCTATTGTAATATACCTGCACACACAATTGTCAATTTATATATTTTTATTCCTTATTTACTTTTTATTTTTATTATCTGTGTTTTTTGTTCTGTCACTGTCATTCTGTTACACTGTGGAAGCTTCTGTCACGAAAACAAATTCCTCGTATGTGTAAACATACCTGGCAATAAAGCTCATTCTGATTCTGATTCTGATTCTGAAGATGGATCTCAAAATCATACAGTCACTGCTGGAAAGGGTTCAAATATGCAAAAGATGCTGGAAAACTGAAGAATCTGCAGGACCTGGAGAATTTTTCTGAAGACTTTTTTGTAGCAGTGGCATGTAAGTCCCTCAGCTGTCATCAGAGTGAAAAGATGGATCTCAAAATCATACAGTCATTGTAGGAAAGGGTTCAAATATGCAAAAGTAATTTTGCCATATTTTGCCAAAAACCAAATAATTTAGCAATTTAACTGTTCAGGACAAACAAGGGACTAAAACAAGGGAACAACTATTACAAAAAAACCCCCCGCTGTGGATCATCCAGGTAACAACACAGTATTAAAAATCAAGCGTATGCAAGCATAACTTCTGAACGGGTCATTTTTATAAATTCAACTATTACTTTCTCTTGTGGACTATCTATCAAAAACTACCCACAAGCTTTTGAACGGTAGCATACACACACATCAGGCACATTATGCATATTTGCAGACTTCAACATACTTCTTTCTAAAAAAACAGAGACAATTTTGAAAATGAAAGTAAGGCTGGGAGAAGTTAAATACATGAAAAGATTGTAGAGGTAATTTGCTCATCATCGGCTCGTTCATTTCTACATTATACGCACGCATTGCCAGCATACATGTAAGTTGCTATCTAAACCGCACACATGCTTCTTCATGCACACGTTCAGAATCACTCATATACCTACACTGAAAAGGTTTAGAGGATGAATAGACATTTTCCTTACCATAAATTCCTGTCGATATGCATGGAAAGGCCTGTAATAGAAAAAAAAGCAAAACGTAAGCCAACTCTGAAATTAAATTCATATAAAATCACATAAATTCTGACCCAAACCTAATCAGGAAGAAGAAAACCGCCTTAGAATCAGAAGTTAGTCATTGAATGTATACAGTTCAGAGGAGCAGGCAATGAAATGAGCCCAACTTTACAGTTTTCAGCCTTGAGTTGTTGTTTCTTTCCAGTTCCTGCTAAGCTTGCAATTTGATAACATGCATGAATTTCCTTAAAGTCAACCCCTATGAAATTCTACTCTGTGAATGGTGTTTCAGAGAAATTTGACGTTTAGTGAATGTCGAATGTTTCATTAATAGCCAGTGGGAATAACTGCTAATGCAAGCTTACAGCAATCATCAAATATATATTAAAAAGCCTAAAGACATGGGGCGTTGCTTTTTACTGAGCAGACGTGTTTGTTTTTGTGGATCTCCAGGCTATAGAAACACTTTGGCTTCAAAGAAAAGGATGAAATTAGCATTTCTTCCATTTGGGGTAGACAGAGCGCTTACATTTGGAGCAGTGCTTTGACGCGACGTGACACGCAGACATGACATCCACCTAAATCAGTTTGAGATAACACATATTGCCATATACAATAACAGTGATATCCCCACCTGTAGGCTTCGCCACCTGCTTTTGACACGCACCCAGTGAGAAGGATCCATTTCGATTTACTTCCCCTAGCGAGAGACTTCAAAAGCAACATTTTGCCTGTCGTCTGGTGTTGATCTAATTAATCTGACAGTTAATTAAGGCACAGCCATATTTCAGTATGTCAGGACACATATAGTAGCTGGATGAGAGATGGCCTCTGGGAAAAGTATGTCAGTCTGTAGAAGACATCCAGAAAATGTGCACAATATTTCAATACTCCTGAAAATGATAAATGATCCACTCATGGCCTTTACAATATTCTGGATAATTCTGAAAAGTAAATGGGGCCTTAGATTGGAGCCACTGGGAAATGTTTGGATCTGTTAAGATGATGGAGCTCTGAACTGTCATAATTTCTGAGGAAAATTACAAACTGCAGAACAACCCATTGTGGCAAGTGTTGCCAGTGCAGGTGAACATGATAATCCCAAAGTGTCTTTTTGCCTCGTTTCAGTTGTGGATTTGGCACATGAGTAAAAAGTGAATGAAAGATTTAAATATACATGAATTGGTAAAAACTCAATAGAAAAACACTCAAAAAACATTTGGAAATGTTTAATCAATTTTACTGTACGCAAGATCTACATATGCAAATACATGTGAAATGTAGGTTACTATGTGACCCGTGAGCAAAGATGAACTTAACCTCTTGTCGATTTTTTTTTTTTATTCTACAGAACACAAAATAAGGCATTTTAAAAACAAGATTTAAAAACAAAACAAAAAAACCTTGGGTCATGCTCCAAAAAGTTTTTAAACGGTCTAAATTAATTAAAAGTTCATGAAAACTTTCTGAGAAATACTCACTGATCAAGAACAGGGCGAGAACCCCTGATTTAGGGTCAGTTCTAGAATATGAAATCTGAGACCCTTTATCTCTCGTGTACATTTCTGGTCCCATCACAAGCAAATCTATGTTAACATTACCATATTCTAGTCAAGATGTTACATGATGACATCTCATTTGTTGCTCTGAGATTTTGACATTAGAGAAAATAAATTGTCCAAAGTGTAAAAATGTCCTTAATTACCTGCATTCCAAAAAACTAATAAAAATGTGAATGAAGTGATGTTTATTTAGGTCTCAGTATTCAATGATAAATTATATATAATTTTGTGAACAGGTGCGTGAGTGTTTTTCTACCATGGAACAAAAAAGACCAGCTCCAAAAAGACTCCGATATTTATGGCCATATTTTTTTAAAGATTAAAAACTTACCATACTGTAATAGGTCTGGCTCTGAGGCACTTTGCACCAGATGTATTACTCAAGAGCAGGTTTAGAGCTGCAACAACCATCATTTTTCCATACGACCGCGTTCCACGCACCCCGTAGCACATTCATCATTTTTAGTATATTAATAAACAGTAAAGAGGAGATATTTATTCAAAGCTCTCATTTGTCTCCACAAACCAGCTGAATCTGTGCTTTAGCATAGCATTTATCACAAAAAACAAAGTGTGACCACTGCGTTAATGCAGCATTATGACAAATGCAAATTTCGCTATAATTTCTGTTTGTTTGGATCTAGATTAGAACAGGAGTAACCATTCGACAATAAAGTGAGTGTTAAAAAGGTGTGAATGCCAGTGCGAGCGGCATTTGTTGACGTCGCTCTGACCGGGCCAGACGCTGTTTAATGACACTCTAAAAGCTGCTAATAAGGCTTTGTTTTAAAAATGTTTGAAGTGCTAAAAGTAGGTATTTTCCATATCAAATGAGCTTTTGTGCTGCGATGAGAGCTTTAGCACAAAGCAGACTGTAATTGCAATAAAGCTTCGCTAACAGAACATTAGAGGAAAAACAAATACACAAAACAACGATGATATAATTTCAGGTGACAGCTGTACAAATCAAAGGCAGTTGAGCTTTGCAATGAGGAACAGATGAGACTCCTGCTGAGCTGTGTACCTCTGATTATAAACCATAACTTACTGCAACAATAAAAACATTATACGACCGTACGGCAGATGATGGGGCATTATCCTGCATACGTGCTTCACCTGATACCAGACTGTACTTTCATATTTTCCCTGATGTTTTGGTACTTTCTTTCTGGTTTTTCCCAGAGAGGAGGGGCTTTGTTTGGCTGGTTATTATTTTACAGGGTTGTGTCAAAGCACTGCTTGTCAAGATCAATATTTCAGCTGAGTCTTTCACTAAAGCTTTGACCTTTCCAGGTGTACATCTCGCTTGGGCTCAAATTCCCCATGATGAGCAGCGAAGGAGGGCCATTTTTAGAGCGCTGCTCGGCTCAACACAATGTAAGCACACTCGCCTGAGTCCCTGCGGGGTTCAATAAAGACTTGCTCAAAAAACATACACACAACGGCATGCTAGAACTGTCCAACATGCTGGAATGTCATTCTGGTGATACCAGGGCTACTTCATGTGAAATCAACATGAAAGCAACATTTAAACCATTTACTTTCTAAATTCATTCCTGGTCTTAATTCTTAATTATCTCAATAAAATCAAAACAGATGGATAAAATCCAGTCAGACACTACATTTTTCTCTTTAAATATTTAGTTTCACTCAGAAATATGGCACATTACAAAAGTGACATGTTGGGAAAGTTGCTTTACCTATGTGTACTAATGTTTACATTCACAACATTTTTTTTTGTGTGTGTTGATTTATTAATGTTAATAATAATAATGAAGAAAACCGATAAAATGCTCAAACTTGTATTATTATTGGTGTTATCACAATTATTTTTACAATTAATAAGAAGAAAAAGAATGTTGGTATTATTATCATCATCATCATTAAGAACAATAACAACTACTAAGACTATACTAATAATAGTTTTTGAATGATATCTGTTACCCCTTATATAATATATTTGATTGTAATGTATATAAATGTTGGAATTTATATCAAATATTTAATCTGTATTGGAATTTTTATCCCAAAGGCAAATGTCCTATCAGCAAAATCAATTATAAACAATTTTCAATTAAAAACATTCCAATAATTCCCAGTTTGGCCCTTAGCAACAGATAAAACACATTAGATGATACCCAGCATATTTGTCCTTTCACCCACTGTACTGGCTTAATAGAGCAAAAAGTATCATCAGAAAGTAACAAGGAAGAACATGGATCTATTGGTTTTACAGGGTCACACATTGACTGAATACTCAATAATGATAATATTCTTGGATGTACAATTTCTAAATCCCTTGCAATTATATGTAAAGAGCAGAGAGACAGTCTCGCTATTGAGTTCTGTGAGCAAAAACACACAGTTGGTGTGTGTGACTAATCATTTCTAGCTGGTGGAGGTGATAACTGCTTCACAGTGCAGCAGGATACACAAAAACAGAAGCCCACAACTCACTAGTTGATTTAGTTTGGCACAGTTACGCCACTACAACCATGGCCAGCAACTCTTGTTTATATATATTACACCGGTGCATTTATATCAAACCACTGCCTTAATTAACAAGGCTGACATTATTACACCTTTGCAGTGACTTATGGTCCTGCGGCTGGATTATTATTTCTGATCTGTCAGTTCATTAGGACCGAATCAGGCTTACGGCCCACTTGCTTTTGCCTGCTTATTGTGTTTTGAGTGTATTTGCTTGCAGTAGCATGTTGAAATCGGTCACAAGGGAAACAATTCCTCTGCAACCGCTCTTCTCTAATCAATCATTTCTTCTTGTGTTCTTCAGGTTGTTTATTAAGATTATTATTGTTATTTATAATAGACACCCTTTTTTGCTGGAACTCCCAATAGGTTTAAGAGCAGCTCTTAATTGAACATATTTCTGTGTTTACATGCATCAACAGGCCAAATACAGTTTCTGCATTTCTGTGCTTGTTATGTCATGCTGCAGAGTGCTGTAGTGCCATTTATGTTATATGTTTATGTGGGTGATCAGAGTAGGGATTTTCAAAATTGAGTAGTTGGTGGGATGAATGAATGACAAGTCTATGTATAATCAGACTGCTTTAGGAGGACGCCTGACACAGATCAAACACTCTTCTTAGCCCTATATAAACACTAAGCACAACTTTCAATAGCATGACTGACAACTATTCAACACATAACTCAGCTAAAATAACAATAAACGTTAATTTTATAAAACAGACATCATAGATTCTGCATAAAACAGACACTGCTGACAGTCTAACAGTTACAGCTGCTAAATATATATATATATATATAAAGTAACATTTTACAAAAAGGTCTCATTTGTTAACATTAGTTGACTACATTAACGTGAGCTAGTAATAAACAATCCTTCTATGGCATGCATTAGTCTTAATATTAATTTCAACGTTTACTAATACATTTTCGAAATCAAAAATTG